TTACAATGGCCCACAAGACCCTACATGATCTGCCACCTCTTTGTGCTCCTCTCCAACCACATCTCTTGCTACTCTCTTCCTGTTCTTATACCTTCTAGCCACATGGGCCTTCTTGTTTCTTGAATACACCAGGCAGACCCCTGCCTTATAGCCTTGGCCCTGGCTGTTCCCCCTACCGGGAACACAGTTCTCTCAGATAGCCTCTTAGTTAACTCCTTCAAAACTTTGTTCAAATCCTATCTACCCAGTGACGCCAAACCTGACCACCTTATTAAATACTACAACTTTACTTTGTTTAACTTTGTCTTTTTTTATGACACTTTTCACTTATTACTACCTACATTATTTACTTATTTATTATGTTTACTGACTATTGTCTATGTCTCCCCATTAGAAGTATAAACTCCATAAATGCAGAGATCTTTGCCTCTCTTGTTCGTCAACATGTCTCAAGCACCTGAAATAGTGCTTGGCAAATATTTTTTAAATGACTGAATTGTATTTAAGGTAGAAATCTAAGCAATATGAAAAAATGATGAGTTCCTAAATTATATATTCTTTATTACACTTAAAAGTTATAGTTATCCACTGGTGAATCTTGGTCACTTCAGTAATGACTAAGATACCCCTAACTATTTCCATGGTACTTACTCATAATCATTTATAAGCCACTTTGCTTTTATGCTATTTAAAATAAGTCGTCTTCACCTAACAGGGCACTCTATTTATAATCGTGCCTACAGTTGGTGGAGATTCTAATCTCAGTTTCCCAAGTGCCAGTGCACTCTTAATTCCCAGTTTGACATGTTTGCAAATGCATGTACATGCTTTCTAAATGCTTTTTTTTTTTTAAAAAAACCCAGCACATTCCCAATACTGATTATGTCTGTTGAGAAAATAGGGAATGCTATTGGGAGGAAGTCAGAAGATATATTGGTAATATTTTACTTCTTCAGGTGGGTGATAGGTATCCAGATGTTGGCTTTATTATTGTTATAATCTGCATATACATTATACACCATCTTTTGTATGTATGAAACATTTCTTTTTTTTTTTTTTAAAGATTTTTTATTATTTATTTATTTGAGACAGAATGAGAGACAGAGAGTATGAGAGGGAGAAGGGTCAGAGGGAGAAGCAGACTCCCTGCCGAGCAGGGAGCCCGATGTGGGACTCAATCCCGGGACTCCAGGATCATGACCTGAGCCGAAGGCAGTCGCCTAACCGACTGAGCCACCCAGGTGCCCTGTATGAAACATTTCATAATAAAAAAGGAAGGACAAAAATAAATCCAGTCTAGCATTTACTTGTTCTACTACCACTCTTTATCTTCCCTCCAGTTTGATACGATGTAGCTCTCTGAACATAGGTCATCTAGCCAGTTTGTGGAAACATAACTGCTGTTGATTTATCATTTATACCCTCTCCCAGCCCACAACCATCTCACTGATGAGTCTGTGATATGAGATCAAATCAGAAAGATCCCCAGCAGAAACAAACAAACAAATTAAACTCATTGCTTTATTGATTTAATCAACCTAGCAAGCTATCAAGAGGGATGAGAATAAAGACAAAAACGAAAACATGTGATGGCTGCCAAAGCAGATTACTTTTTCAAAAGACATACATAAACATAATAACTTCACAGTTGATTATAATATTTTGTCTTCCCACTATAGCAAGGCAAGTTCCTTGCTTACCTTCATTTCATCCTCCCTTCCTTGACCCCACTGTGGTATAGGGATCTGATATCTGCTTCCACAGCGCACAATTCTGGTCACGTGTAGAACTGTAACTGCCCATTTATGTGCCCCCACCCAACTAGACTAGAAGTTCACTGAGGAATGGTCCCATGTCTTTTCACCATTTGAGCCCTATTCCTGGGACAGCTCCTAGGGTTTTGGTATGAGACTAGCTCAGTTCAAAGGTCAGCTCCTCTTCTTACTCTCTGTGTAACCTTCTTAACCTCTCTGTGCTTTCATGGCATAAGCCCAGGATGTGAGGATTAATGCAATGACACATCTAAATTAATTAGCACAGAGTCTGGTCCAAAATGTAAGCTAAATAAATAGAATAATTATTTATGATCACCATTTGGTGATAAAGAGGAAGCTGAGTTGACAGAGAAGAAAGAAAATAACTCTTACAATACGATTCTTAGTGATTCACGTGCATTGTCAATCTTCAGGAAATGTTTAGAAACCACGTCATGAGTTCAAGCTTTAGAGTGCATGCTGAGACGATGTGGTTCCTTGGAGTGGTGCTACATCTCTACCTGCTTATACCTCAGGGTTGGTACCAATGGGCTTGCCTAGGTCAGGGGCTTGTGACATTTTGATGGTACAACCCAGAAGTGGAACTGATATATCTGGACACTTAGCAAACATTTCTTGAGTCCCAACTATGGTCCCAGGAATTTGGCTAGATAATGAGGATGTGGTGGTGGCAGGTCACATCCTCTAGTCCACAGGCCCCACCTTGTCATGCCGCACGTCCAGTCTAGCCCCTTAAACTGAGTGTAGCTCATTCAATGCCAATCCTTAGTGCTGCTGTTCTCTCTTCTCAAGAGACATCTAACTGTCAGCTTTTCCAAATATATAGCAGTTTCCCCTACAAATCATGTTTCTCATGACAACTATAACTGTAATACACATACACATGACTATACAACCAGTGTACCGATCTAATGCCTCAAATCCTGGCATTTATTATGCACTTGAACTTATAATAATTGCTTAAACTTTAAGCTATTTGCCACACAGGATGACAGAACTGACATAAATATAGACATATTTACATACTATAATATTAATTATATTAGTAAGCATTGTTCTATTTTGAGGTGAGAATTACTAAGATCATTCTGTTGCCTATAAAATAAACTCATGAGGTCTTTGAAATGGAAAATATTTTGGTGTGGTAAACTATGAAACACCAACTTAATTTATTATAAGATTTGTGGACTCACTAAAAGGTTTTGGATATAAAGATAATTAAAATAAGATCGAAGAGGGTTTAGAAGTAAATGAAAATAATAATAATTACTCCTTTTCTCTTTCTTTTGAAAGTAGTATGGTTTGAAGAAATTCAGAGTCGCATATCAAATACAGACATTTATGGCAATAAATTTTATAAATAGCTCATTCTAATAATAATATGAAAATATCTAGAACGTTTTTGTTATAAGTAAATAAAGGTTAATAAAATAGATGATTGGTATACATTCCTAGGGTATAAAAATATGAAACATTAATGGACACTACATAACCTAGTAAGTACTGTGTTTAAGATTTAAAGTAACTAAATCATAAGGTAATCCGTATTATAAAGTTATATTTCTTGAGAAATAATAATTGAAAAATTTTGAAATTTAATATCGACCGCCCCAAGCTTGGGCACATCAATTCCCCATCTTAGTTTCTCAACAGAATGGAAATCGGCCATCTTACATATAGACCAAAAATTGACTACTTTTAAAAGAACTTCCGAGAAACAAAAGGCCTCAAAAGTGTTGATATTTCAGACTCTAACAAAATCTGTTATCATTATGACATTTTCCGTCCTTTTCTGTGTGATCAGCAATTCTAACTTTGCCAGCATTTCAGACAGGACAAATTCAAAGAATTATAGCAGTTCGCCAATTGCTATTATAATGACAGACATACTCTAGCCCAACAATCTCACTTTACGAATAAGTTATCTCAGGTCCAGGGAGGTTAAAGCACCTTAATCAAAGTCACCCTTGTCTAGTTAAAGGCAGATATGGAGTTATAATCCAAATATCCCAAGTATCCAGAAAAGACACAAATATTAGTACCAGTGTGAAAATTATTAAGTATTAACAGCCTGAAGATGACATTATATTTCTTAGACCTTTCACAACATGTTAAACAGGCAGGAAATACCACCCGGAAGACATTATAGAAGATTTCTTAGTAGATTTTCTGTGAATTTTGCTAGCCAGTCTTAACTGTAAGACTATTTCAGTGAGGCCAGAGGGAAAATTGCCAGTGTACAAAAGCTCTCTTTTCTGAAATTTCTGTTCAGAGGCCTAGAATTTAGAATTAGTAGTAGGTATTAAGTACCCTTGCCTTTATTTAAACCACATTTTACCACCAGAAATAATACCCTGGGGAATAATAAACTCATGTGCCTTTTCCCCATGTTACTTTCCTCCTTCACTCCTTTTCTCTTTCTCTAATAACCACATTAAAAGTTCTTTTTGAACCACTTTACTCTGAGTCGCGCTAGAAACTACACGTCTGGTGTTCTACAATGGTATAAATAAGAAATACCTTCCCACAAGGAAAATCAGAGGTGCAGGGGCAAAGTCTTCAGGGGGACTCCTGGATAGGATATCCTACTCAGTTTCCTTCATTCTATGAAATGGCACTCCGGACATTCACTCTACGCCAAATTATGAGACTAACTCCTGGTGTCCAAACCGGCCCTCTATCTTATTTTAAAATGGAAAGGCCAATCACTGGTAAAGATGTTTTTAAAAAGAAGAAACAGATGTCCAAAGTTTTAAAGTCAGCAAACACTCTAAGACACGTCAGACTGCGATCGTCACTCTCAAATTCTCACACGACTCGCACTGAATCTACAGTGCCTTAAAACGCGCCCCCCCCCAGGAATTCCTTCCGAGGGTCAGGTTGGGGCTCCTGGGCTGCTGGACAGGCGAGGGTTCAGACGGGTTACCCGTCTGTCCCTGAAGCAATTTTCTGGGCAGGAAATCAGTCAAATGTGATGAAAGAAAACGCGGGGAAGACGAGCCCGCGCCCCAAGCCCCGCGTAGCTGGGTCAAGGGCTGAGGTCAGCAAAGGGGACCCCGGGGACGCGCTCCCCTCGAGGGCCAAGCGGGAGGCGCGAGTTCTCCGGGCCACGGCCGGGAGCTGCGTCGGAGCCGGGACCAGAGCCACTGGACACATGGTCCCGCGGCAGCCCCAAGGGTCCCGGCTGCAGCTCGCAGGGCGCCCGGACCGGCCGGCGCCGCTTACCTTGACGGCTCCGCGCGGACTCGGCAGGGATTCTGCGCGGGCGCGGGCGCGGGTGAGGGCGGGCCGGCGGCGGGGCAGCGGCGGGGCAGCGGCGGGGCAGGCGAGGCGGCACACTGGGCTCCACCCGGGCTCAGGTCCGCCGCCTCGGAGAGGAAGTGGTGTCAGCCCTGCCCTTTCCACGCAGCGCGCCGACGTGTGGCGCTCGCCGCGCCGCTTTGCATCGAGGTGCAACGGGGGCGCCTGGTGGGAGGCACACCCGCGGGAGGATGTGTGGATGAAGACTTCTAAGACTCGGGGGCTGCTTTTTCCAACTCATCGGGTCTGTGCCTCATTTCCCCTATTTCTCCCCCGCCACACCACACCCCTGAAGGGAAAAAAAAGTTTTTGTTTTTTAAGTTCTGGGAAAAGTTGGGCCTTCCTCTCTCGCCCCTCCCCTACGCGCGCCCTCTTCTCTGAGAATTCCCTCGCTGAATGATCCTCCTTTGTCGCTCGATCTATTAGTGGCTAAGGGATGTGGGGCCAGACGACGGCTCCGCATAAGCCCGAGACCCTGGTCTCTTTTGCAACGGCCTTCCTGAGTGTTTACTTCAGCCCCTCTGCGCTTCCTCTTTCGGGCCAGTTGAGCAAGGCCGGATCTTCCCGCGGCGCGCAGCCCACCCTTGGGGGACATGGCGCGGGAGTGCGGAGCAGAGCGACCCCGCGCCTGCGCGCCTGCCCGCCGGTCCGCAGGGACGCGCTCTAGGGGGCGCGGGTCTCTGCGGGAACCCGGGTGGAGTCGGAGGTCGGGGGTCAGGCGGGGAAGGGCGCGCTCGACTCAGCCCATTTCTCAACTGTGCGATTGGCAAACCCCCCAAAGTTTAACGACACTGAGTTGGCGCGGGAGGCTGTGAAGAAACAGGCACTCTCACACATTGCGAGTGGAAATCCAAAGTCGTATGAACCCCGTGGAGGCGAATTCAGCAATAGCTATTAAACTTACATATGCAGTTACCGTTTGATCCAGAAATCCCACTTCTAGGAATGTCTTAGGACGATTGAGTGATGACAAAAAGTTTTGCATATACCCACGCCCGGCAGGATTTGTGATAGCAAAGGACTGACTGGAAGTAACCCGAGACTCATCGGAAGTAGAGCCTCCTGAGAGTGGGGAGATCTGAAAATACAGAAGTTAAAAACAGTTAGGATTTGTAAATGTGGTTGAATGAACCTCCTCTTCCCCTGTAAAAGCTGTGTCTTCAAGGGCTTTTTATGTGGGGAAGGTGGTGGAGAAGGCATAAAGACATACATTGGACACGTAAATTAATTAGGTAAATTAGATAATTCAGTCATTTAATAAAAAACTTATAAGCACCTACTCATCTAAGAACGATGAAAATAGTTGTGAAGAAAACAATTCCTGCTCTGGTGGGTGGTACTTTCTAGATGGAAGAAAGCAAATTAATATTTAACATGTTAAGTAATGTAAGTATTTTGAAGGGAATTAAGAGGTGAGAGTGATAGTAGGGGGATGGAGCCGTTATATTAATTAGGATCATCAAGGAAGAGCTTTCGATATGTGTCACTTGAGCCAGACCTAAATGACATGAGAGATTAACTCATGTGGATTTTTGAATGAGAATGTTCAAAGGCTCTGGGTTAGGAGGGCACTTGAAATACTGGAAGAACAGCAAGGAAGCTAGTATGGATGGAGCAGAGTGAGAGGGAGACAGGTGGTATATGAGATCAAAGAGGAAATTGTGGCCAGATCATGTGTGTCCTTTCTGGCTATGGTAGGGACTTCACTGTGAGATAGGAAGCCATTGGAAGGTTCTGAACAGTCAGTACTATATAGAAAGTCAAGCGATGGAGTGACTTACATAGAAGAGGAAGAGTGGGCAGGCAATATCTCTTTGCAAAATAATGAAAAGGGGCAGCCATTCCGAGGTTTGGAAAAACATTCCAGAGAAGGAAGAGCAAGCAAAGGTCTTAAGATAGGAACATAGAAGGTTAGAAAGAAGGCCAGTGTGACTGGCATATAGCAAAAGAGTAGGGCAGTGGTAGAGGATGGGGACAGAGAGGTAGATAGGGACCAGATCAGGCAGGGCCTTGGGGTAAGCCTTGAGGACTTTGAGTTTTATTCTGATTGCATTGGGGAGCTATTGGAAGGATTTTAGAAAGTACATGATTTGACTTCTGCTGTATGCCATCATGCTGGTTGGTGATTGGAAATGGATCGGATGGGGCAAGACAAAGGGCAGTGAGAGGTCACTCAGTAGGTTGTGGCAATAGCCCAGGTGAAAGATGGTGGTGGTTTTGGTTAGTATTCTAACAGTGGGGATGATGGGAAAAGTTTGGATTCAAGACAGTTTCAAAGCAGAACCAACAATGTTTGCTGATGGGCTGCTGCAGGAGTGGGGAAGTGGCAGAGTGGCAGAAGGGATTAGGAACTGAATGTGAACTAGTGTGACTGGAGTCCTGGGAGCTCTGGTGTGAGGCGAGGCTAGACAGAGAAAGGTCAGTAGGGACAAACCATGTAGGACCGTGAGAACCATGTCAAAGATTGTTTTCTCATCCTAAAAGCAGTGAGATTGTGGTAGGATTTGCGCTTTAGGAAAATCACTCTGGCTATAGTTTGGGGAATTGATCAGATGAGGAGAAAAATGGGTGCAGGAATATTTCTGAACTAGGCTGGGTGAGAGATTATAATGGTTTGGACTAGACTGGTGGCAGTGGAAATAGAAAGAAGTGGATGGACCTGAGAGATATTTACAAGGTAGTTGATAGGAGACTGTGATGAGTGGATGTGGACAGAGTGAGGAAGAGGGAGGAGCCAAGGATGCCCACTAAGATTCAGGCTTGGATAATGATGGATGTCACTGCCATTCAATGAGATAAGGAACTCTGGGGGTGGGGAGACTGTTAGGGGGGAAGGGAAGATAGTTTTATTTTGAACAAGTTGAGTTTGACAAACCTTTGAGGCATGTGAGTGGAGAGACCTCATGTAGAAAGGTGTGTAAGTGTCTGATGCTCAGAGCATGGTTTAGAGTTAGAGATGCACAGTTTGGGTAATCTACCTACAGGTGGTCATTGATGAGATGGCTTAGAGAGAAGTGAGTAGGATGAGAGAATGACCTAATGCTAAGCCTTAAGGAACATCACCATCAAAGTAGAGGAAAGCTGAGCCTGCAAAGGAGACAAAGGAAGAGCTCTATGGGGAAGGAGGCAAACCAGAAGAAAGTAGTGTTTTGGAAGTCACAAGATGGGGTACTCAGCCATGTCTGGGGATGTTAAGACTAATGTAAGATGAAGATCAAGATGTGCCCATTAACTTGAACCATATTAACAACCACAGAGACCTATTTTATTTATTTATTTATTTAATTTAAATTCAATTAATTAACATATAGTGTATTATTAGCTTCAGAGATAGAGTTCAGTGATTCATCAGTTGAATATAACACCCCATGCTCATTACATCAAGTGCCCTCCTTAATGCTCATCACCCAGTTACCACATCCTTCCACCCACCTCCCCTCCTGCAACCCTCAGTTTGCTTCCTATAGTTAAGAGTCTCTTATGGTTTGTCTCCCTCTCTGATTTCATCTTATTTTATTTTTCCCTCCCTTCCCCTATGATCCCACAGAGACCTGTTTTTAATAGCATGTTGAGGCTGGAGGCCATATGGGTTGAGGAGTAAATAGGGTATAAAGAAATGAAGACCATGAGCAAAATAACACTTTTGAGCAGTTTGCATGTAAAGACAGAAGGATAGGAAGGCAGAATCAGACATGTGAAACTGAGGAAGATTTTATTATTTTTTAAAATGGTTTTCTAGTAGGAAGAATCCAGGTGAGAGTAAGGGTTAAATTTAAAAGAGAGTAGAGATAATTGACAGTAAAAAGCTCTTAACTTCTTTTTTTTTCTTTGTAATTGTAAACTTACATATAATATTATGTTAGTTTTGGTGTATAGTACAAATCACACATAGTGATTTGGCAATTATATACGTTACAAAATGCTCACCATGGTAGGTGTAGTTACCCCTATTACTATACAAAATTATTGCAGTATTATTGACTATATTCCCCATGCTGTACTTTTCATTCCTGTGACTTATTTAATATATAACTGAAAGTTTGTACCTCTTAATTCCCTTTGTCAATTTCACCCATTGCCCGCCCTCACCTCCTCATCTCTGGCAACTACCAGCTTGTTCTCTGTATTTATAAATCTGTTTCTGTATTTTGTTTGTTCATTTGTTTTTTTAGATTCCACATATCAGGGAAAGCATATATTTGTCTTTCTCTGTTGGACTTAACGAAATACTCTCTATGTCCCTCTGTGTTATTGCAAATGGCAAGATTTCATTCATTTTTATGGCTGAGTAATATTCTATTGTATGTATATATCACATCTTCTTTATCCACTTATCTATCGATGGACACTTAGGTTGCTTCCATGTCTTGGTTATTGTAAATAATGCTGCAGTAAACATAAGGATGCACATATCTTTTCAAATTAGTGTTTACATTTTCATCTGGTAAATACCCAGAAGTAGAATTACTGGATCATATGGTATTTCTTTTTTTAATTTCTTGAGGAACCTCCATACTGTTTTCCAGAGTGGCTGCACAAATTTACATCCTCACCAATAGCACACAAGGGTTTCCTTTTCTCCACATCCTCACCAACACTTGTTATTTCTCGTCTTTTTGATTCTAGCCATTCTGACAGGTGTGAGGTGATTTGTCACTGTGGTTTTGATTTGCATTTCCCTGATGATTAGTGATGTTGAGCATCTTTTAATGCGTCTGTTGGCCATCTATTTCTCTTCTTTGGAAAATGTCAATTCAGATCCTCTGCCCATTTTTTGATTGCATTATTTGTTTTATTGGTGTTGAGTTATATGAGTTTTTATATATTTTGGATATTAATCCTTTATTATATGTATCATTTGCAAATATCTTCTTCCATTCAGTAGGTTGCCTTTTGGTTTTGTTGATGGCTTCCCTCACTGTGCAAAAGCTTTTAGTTTGATGTTGTTTCAGTGGTTTATTTTTGCTTTGGTTTCCCTTGTCTGGGGAAACAGATCCAGAAAAATATTTCTATGGCCAATGTCCAAGAGTTTATTGCATGTTTTCTTCTAGGAGTCTTAC